AAAATGTTTCTCTCTTCATTTGTGTAAAAATAAAGTTTTAAAATCCGTTATGTATCATTTTCCATTAGAAAAGTCTTATTATTTGTAAAAACAAATATGTATTCTTTGATCCCTTATTTTGATTACCCAGGTAGACAGATAAGTGAAGTTTCAAGGTGTATTTGAAAGTGCTGTCAGTTTAGTCACTAAAATGTTCGAAAAGGAAATGCTACCCATGCAGATGTATTTAAAAGATTTTGCATTTCTATACAGTGCTTTCCTTGGCTCTGCAGCTTGCCATAAGAAAACACTGGGACAGAAGTTTGCATACTTGGCGTCTGTCCAAGCTGTGTTTCTTAAAATTTTAAATTATGCTTTAAAGAAAATAAATTCATCCATACCTTTTGGTGTTGTGAAATGAACAGAAATAGTTTTTAACTGAACTTTAACAAGAAACCCCTTTTAAATATAATGAAAATTCTTTTTTAAAAGCAGTTGGGATGTACGTAGACTTTAGTATGCAAATATGAGCAAAGTGAAGTTTGATGTAAATACTTGTTTTTTCTAAAATAGGAAAGTATGAAACTGTTAAATATATGAAACTGCCTGTGAAGTGGAAAATACCTTTAACTTAAAATCTGTGCAGTACATCAAATGCATTGGTTTATAAGTGCATGTCAATTCAGCTACAAAGATGTTCATACTCAGCAGCTGAAGCTAGAAGAGATTGGAAACTTGGGGCTTAGTAACTTCAAAGCAGGGGTTGGCAAACCTTTATACATGCAGCAAGCTGATTTAGCTCTAAACTAAGAAGTTTATGGAAACTTTGTACATTCAAAAGCCCATTAACTTTGAATCAAAGAGTACTAAAGCTCTGTTGGCAATATGGATCAAGGAACTTAAAACCACTTCTAATGAATTTATATCAGCCCTGTCCTGGACAACACAGGAAAACAAGATGAGATGACAGGGATGTGTATTTTCGTAGATCTTGATTCTTATTTATGTAACCCTGCTAGGAACTACTCAGCAATAATTAATCAAGTTCTTTGTAATCCATTTCACTTTTGGAGAGACCGTTCTAGCCTTGCACACTTCCTACCTGATCTTTCAGCACAATACCATTTTCCATCCTGTGTGCAACGGTTAAACAAGAGGGGGAGAGGTGTGTGTCTCCTTACAATACTAGATTTTGGAAGTCCTAACCTTATAATTCTACAAGGGTCAATTTATAAAGTTATTTGATCCACAGTATAGCATCTAATCACTCCCTGCAAAATGCCTACTAAGATATTTCAGAATTATCTTTTATCACCAAGTCCGTTCACAGGGATGCTGGCACCAGAGGAAATTAGACAAGACACAAGGAATATGGCTTTGGTTGATCACAATTTCCTGTAAAGAGGGTTAGTTTGTTTTCTTCTCATGTCCTAACTAGAGATTTGCTGTCTCAGATGTTGCAAGTTTGTTTGCAATACTATGCAAAACTATAGAACTGGAATGATTTGCAGGCCCAAATGTCTTTGAAATTTTCCTCTCTCTCATCTTAAACAGAAAATTAAACAGAAAATAAAGAAAATAAATGCAAAAAAAGCCTCCAAAACCTGCCTTTGGCAGTGGTAAAATATGTTTTTGAAAGAATTCAAAAGCCAGGAAACTCCTAAAGTTAAGATTGCTCCCAGAAGGAAATTTGATTCCAGTGAACACTTCTGGTATTTCCTATTTCTGTTTTCTATTCTTGTTTAGTTTTTATTCTTTTAAATTTGAAAAACTTGACCAAACAAAATTAAACAGCCATACAGAGGTGTTTTACAACATAGGTGGCCAACCTATCACCTACAGATCAAATGGAGCCTGCCACGTAAATTCAGTCAAGCGCTTATTCCCTGATGCTTTCTTTTCCAGGAATGTCTCAAATAGCAGCAAGAAGTAAGCTAAGGGCTGTGGAAATTGTTCTTGTGGTCTGCCCTTCTGAAGAGCCCCTCTCCCATCATAAGGCTCAGGCATACAATTCTTGTATAATCAAAATCTCATTCCAGGTGATCAGAAACAAGACCTGCGGTGCGATCTTCAGGTGTCACCTGAGATTTGGTGACTTCCTTGTAGCTGAAAGACTGGACAATGTCAGCTTGAGAACAAAATACCGAATATAAATCAGTATGAGCTTAATGTGTACAGCATAAGAACCTGTATCTGTAGAATTAACCAAGGTGGTTCATTGTATTTGAGTGGAAAGCTTTGAATTTTTTTCAGTGTCAGTACATAATGTAAAAGATCAGCAATGTAAAGCATGTAAATATCAATCAATCTGGGTCTTCAAAGCTTGAATGATGTGTAATTTGTACAACGGATTGCTTTATGAGTAGAAAATAGTGGGTTCAAACAGTAAAATTCATTATCAGCAGTGTTGTTTAATCATCTATTTTATTATGTAAGTAGCCACAAGTTTTTATTCCTTAAATGTGCATTTTGATGTTATTAGACAGGCAGACAAGCGCTCTCTCACACCTATAGGGTGCCCTCCCTGCTTGCTCTCCCTGCCTCAACATTGCTCACTCACTCTCTTCCCCTCCCCGGCCCCCGCTGCCTCTCGCTCTCTCACTTGCCTCTCTACAGTGTTTCTTTCAAATTCACAAGAAAGATCTCTCTTCCATCTCATTGTACTCTTTCTCAACATATAATAGTTTAAAGATGTTGTATACACCTGTCGTTTTGTACAAATATATATAACTTCTCTAAAACCATGTATTTAATTTCAGACACTGGCACTGTTGGACCGATTTAAATCAAAGTTAACCCAGGCAATTGAAGAAACTCCTGAAAATGAGGTTTCTGAACCTGAAGTAGATGACGACGAAGGATGGTGAGTTTTTTAGATTTGCATTTTTGTGTTTACTGCTGGAAATCATACTGCACTAACATAGTCTCACTGTTAAGTTTAAGCAGTAGCAGAAACACTAAATGTGAAGACAGCTGCTGCAGCAGGAGTCAGCTAAAATGTACTGGTTTAGCACTTGAAAATAAGGTGGGAGAGTAGAAGACATTTTGGTTTGTGTAGTTGTACGTCCTACTAGAGCTTAAAGACTGGCAGATGAGATGAAGACAGACTGAGAGGCTCATCTGAAGTGTAGGGTGACCCCAAGGAGACTGGGTAGCAATGGAATTGATAAAGCACTGTGGAAGTTAGGAACTCAGCACCTCCCAGTCAAGGAAACAGCTTACACCATGTTGTCTCATGTTCATCTTCCATCCAAAGAAACCACCTTAGGTAGGTAAGGTGGTAAAAATCATTATGATTTGATGGGTGATCCTGAAGTCCTAGACTGCAAGCTGTTAGATAAGAATAAAAAATATCTGCATAAAATTAATAGAAAAAAAGAAAAAAAAAAATTGCAAAAATGTTTTGTAAGGACAGGTCATCTTTTCTTATAAGGCACACAGTATAGCTGGTCTAACAAACCAGGCTGTCTCTGCCTGCAGCTTCTTCCTTAGTTGTATGCATAAGCCATCACAGCTACAGCAAAACTACTGCTGAAACAGAAATTTCTTGGCAAGTGTTAAAAAGACAACCAATATTTCAATATCTCAGCTAACTTATGATTATTTAGTGAAAATATGTCAGGTGTACCCTTACGATCTTCCTAAAGGCTCCCCTGTTGGGAGAGGGAAACCAATAGGGTACCTACCTGCCCCAAAATCTCCAAACTAGCACCAGTAACTAGATCCAAAAAAAAATTAATTACAACTAGGAGAAAAACTAAAACATACAATAATGTACATTAGACACCCTTTTCAAATAGAAAATAAATGATGTGACTAAATGTGATTAAAGCATCCTGCGTTTTGAGAGGACTCATACAAAACTGTAAGATAACCATGTTAATGAAATTGTTTTTCTCAGATGAGAAGACAGCATTGATAGGAAATGCAGACTGTCTAAATAACCTAGTGATTTTTACTGTCATTCTACAAATGAAAAAGATGTGCATACTGAAATGAGAAAAGAGACCATTAAAAAGACTGTGAGGGAAGATAATATATGGAAGGAAAAATGTTTTTTACATCTTAACTTACATTTTTTTCCACAAGTTGGTAAATGAAATTCTTCAACTCTCTGTAAGTTATACTATTTTATAAAAGTTTTTTTTAATATATATTGAATAAAATATCTTAGGACTATTTGAAGATACATTCCATAAAGATTTTTTAAAAATTAAAAAATCGTAGGTCATGTAAGCTGAATTGCAAATTCTGAGACCAGTTGTGTTGATGACACTAAAATTTGAGATCACTCTTAGATAAATTTTCCTTTCGTGTTTGTGTCATGTACATAATGAATCATTGCATATATTTTAATTTAGTAAGATAAAGCTACATAGATCCTGCAGCCTTACCTTCACACCTTCTTGCTTTTCACTGAATTAAGCTGAAACCTCACAAGGGTAATTCTAGGATTTGCAGAAAATTTCAGACACATGTACTGTCAGAAAGACGAACAGTGGAAGCATAGCACTTAGCATAGAATCCTTGCAGCTCATAAAACAACTTTTTTACATAAGTATTGTGTAATGAGTGCATTTATTTTTTCAGTGTTTCTTTGTGGGCATTAGTGTAGTCTGCTTTCATCTTAACAGATACCTTGGCATTTTCATCACTGAAATGCGCTCAGGTGTTACTAAGTAGGCTATTAAAAATACTGTGATTCTTTCAAAACAATAGCAATTCAGACATTTTGCTTTTTATTTTATTGATTATATTCTCTATTTAAAATTATTTTATTTTTTCCAAGTAAGAACTGACCATTTCTTATAGCTTTAGAATCTAACCAAACACACTCTCTTTCTCTCTCCCTCTCTCCCTCTCATTATTTATTTATTTATTGTACCTAAGAACAGAACATGGTATTTTAAAATATAAATGCAAGTTAGGTTTCTGAAGTGTAAATTTTCTTCCTACTTTTAATGTTAAACATGAACATTTTGGCTTTCTATTACTGCTTTTGAAACAATAGAGAAAATAATTTCCTAAATCTTGCCACTTTCAGCATAATTCTTACTACTAACTTGCTATTACTTTACGTTTTCTCTTGTCACCATCTATGTGGTTGCTTCTTCAAACCACACAGTCTTCCTTCATTATGTCTTTTCCTATTGTAAGCTCTTTGAGGATAAGGGACAACATACGGCATAATTTTTCAGATCCTTGGATTTCACTGATACTTTGAGATCCTTCTGAGCTACCAAGGTGCTTCTAAGTTCTCCAAAAATTATAGAATAGACAATTTCAGTTGGAAGGGAGCTATAACGATCATCTCGTCCAACTACCTGACCAATTCAAGGCTGACCAAGTTAAAGCATGTTATTAAGGGCATTGTCCAAATAACTCTTAAATGCTGACAGGCTTGGGGCACCGACCACCTCTCCAGGAAGCCTGTTTCATCATCCTCTTGGTAAAGAAATGCTGCTTAATGTCCTTAACCTCCCATATCCACTCTAAACCTCCTTTATGCAGCCTTTCCATGAACCTGAAGGACTGGTCTTCATGTCTGATGTTTCCTCACCACAGTAATATAACCAGTCTGTTAAAGGCTTTGTTACAGAGTCCAATCACTATCTTTCCTATTCCTTCTGGGTAACTGCTGACATCTAATTGGCGATAATTCTTTTCTCTGTAAGTAATTCACTCAGTATGAATTAGTGTTGCAATTTCAGATTATGAAGTTGCATTTTTTTCAGAAAATAGTGTTGCATTCAGAATTGTGCAGAGGGAAGACTTAGAATGCTATGAAACTACATAATAGACTAATAATTAACATATTAGTAATTTTGCAGTGCAGTAAATGTGCGTGTTAACTTTACAGACAGATGAGAGTCGATTTTCAAAGAATTTACTATGAAGCTAAATAAATTGTAAAATGTATATGTTACACAAATTGGCTGTAAACACAGACAACATTAACAAAGCAATGAAGTTTTCAAAAAGCTATTAATGATTGTTAGACTCACCTGGAAAATTGAAGTTTGTATTTTGGGATAAGAGTTTATGTTTTCAGTGTCTTTGTTGTATTGGAATATTTTATACAACTTTCATGACTTTACATTTTAAAACTCTTTCTTAATTACAATCTACTCCACATAAGACAAATCATACTTTATTTGATTTTTATGAAATAAAATTAGTGTATGGCATATGTATGTGATATGCACAAGTTATATGATTCCTCCAGGCCATTTTGTAGGTCATGGTTGCTGTTTTTATGGGAAGTGAAAGCCTGCCAGTGTGCTTTGCTCTGCTGTCAGGGTGTGTTATCTGAGGTAAAATGATTGCCTCTAAGACATTTTTATGTGTCCACATGCGTGGCCACACATTGAGGTATAATTTTCATTTTCTGTCAGGATAGAAACCATTACCAATTTGTTATGTTTTCTTTTATTTGGCAAACTTCTCTCTGCATATTTGGCTGAGCTGCTGTATTGGCATGGAGCATAGCAGACATTTGGGCACTTTTCAGCAGCATTCTACTTTTTATGCAAGAAAAAAAGAAGAAATATGACTCTATTGTAAACAGTGTGTATGGTGTTTGATAATTATTACCAGATTTTACTGTCTAAGAGGCATCTGAGGAAGTTTTGTGAAGAGAGATGAAGAGAAATGCTTAATACTAAGTTTTAACATGAAATACCAGAATCTTTGCTGAGACATTCTATTGCAAACTCTACTGCTATGTGAGAACGATTATATATATCTCTCTGTAGCAATCAAAATCCAGTTTCCCCTACAGAATTCAAAAGTATCAAAATAAACACGGTATGTCCTGCCAGAAGGGATACATGTAACAATAACAATGTCTGCAAACAACTTGACAGACACATTTTTAGAGCATCTGGGTACTTCAGGAAGACATGCTTCATCCTAGTTCTTCCAGACGCAAGCATTATTGTCACTGTGGCTCCATATTGAGAACTATTGCTTATGGTTTTCTTTTAATGATTTGTCTGATGTTTTCAGTACTATTTCATCATTAGTTGTTCTTTATTTGCTTACAGTCCAGGTAAGAAAGAGTCAGATGCATGATTTCATTCTTCTCTTTCACAAAAGTTGTACAGAGTGCAGCAGAGGTAGGTGGAGGTGATCTGGCATAACTCAGTCACTCGTTCTGGGCTTAAAGTCTTACCCAACAAGACTTTTCCCCAAAATGTAGAGGAGATGCATCACAGCAGCAGTGAGGTGTCATCTGGTTAGAGACTAATAGTATGAAAACCAAATACGTCACGGCAGAAGACCCAGCTGGAATAATTCATCTACTTGGTACTTCCCATCTGGATTACTGGACAGGATAGGCCTGAATTTGAAAGCGGCAACATTGCACAGGCTGTGCTTTTTACAGAACACTGCTGCTTCTCAGCGTCTTTAGGACTTCTAGTTGCATGCATGTGACACCCAGTGAGGTTGTAGTGCCACTTCAGGGCTCTGATTATAGTATCAAAAAGTTACAGCTATTGTAAAACCCGTATTTCAGTCCAGAAGGTGTTATGGCAACTGCAGGTAATTAAACTGATGATGCAGATCCTGTGAACAAGACATAAGATATTTGCCATAGAGAGAATCCATCTATGGGAGAAAAAAATTCAGATGCAATCTACTATATTCAAAGATCAGTACCTCTTCAAATATGGTAAGAGTGATACTTAGTACTGCGAAAATCCTGTCAAGTAATTCTGAGAGTTCCGAGTGGTTCACCTCTCCTTTAGCCCATGAAATCTGAGACCAGATACGACACTCAGCTAAGTCTTTGTCAGTGTTGAGTGGAAGGATTGCTTTATTTGTCATTGTTTCTTTCATGCCTGGTTTCCAGTCCCTCTA